TCTTAAGACAGTGGCCTTATTAACTGGGTATGCAGACAATTGTAGCTTCCACCAGGTCCCTAGAAAAACTCCAGCCTGGTCACAGGATGGGTCCTTGGGTTGGCAGGACTGACCCTGGACCATGGCCTAGAAGATCTCCAGTGCTGTTTCCAGTTCCATAGGTAAGGTCAAGGTCTGTAGAGGCACGAATGGGCGTGTCTCCTGCCAGGTCCCTGGATAGACTACATTGCTCCCTGTCTGTGGCAAAAGGAGCTAGAGCTGAGTATAGAGTTGTTTTAGGATATCTTGGCGGTGCAGACAGGAGTGTCACCTGCAGATTCTCTGGACCAGTAGTACTACTCATAGACTGTGGCTGAGAGACTGGAGCTGAGTATTGAGCCCTTTCTGAATCTCTGGACTTGCAGATATGTCCTTGGACCTGCAGGACTGCTGGCAAACAGCAGCTGTCAGAGGGCTAGAGCCAAGTATAGGACCCTTTTGGAATTTTCAGAGGCACAGATGGGAGTGTCTCCTGTCAGGTCCCTATGTCAGCTGGACTGTTCTCAGGCTACAACTAGAACCAGCTGGCTCCTGGTTACAGGGCCTTTCAGAATCTACAGTCTGACAGAGTTTGGAGGGTTTACCTCCACAGGCTCCTGACCACAGCCAAGAAGAGGCTGGATGTGCTTTACAGGCTACTTCAAGGTCCACATCATGTACCAGGGTCTGTATGCCTATTACCTAGTGCATGTGGGCAAGACTTCTCCTGGGTCCCTTCGCATCGCATCTGGTGCTGGTGACAGAACTAAAGCCACATGGAGCTGTAGCTGAGTCTTCAGGGGTATGGAGCTGTTTGAGGATCTGTAGTCAGGTCAGGACCATGGTTGGTGAGACAGCCACCTAGTTGTGAACTTGCCTTTTCAAAATGGCCGTCCTTGGGTTCAAAATCTCCCACTCAGTCCCTAAGCTCCCTCAAATACACTTTTGTCCACGTATGGATACCAAATTATTGTTTATAGGAATGAGTAAGGGATGTCTTATTCAGGCATCTTGCTGAAATTACTCCTTCCTACCCCCAGAAACTTTTTTTTTTAAAGACTTTATTTATTTTATTCATGAGAGACACGGAGAGAGGCAAAGACACAGGCAGAGGGAGAAGCAAGCTCTCTGTGGGGAGCCTGATGCCCGACTCGATCCCAGGACCCTGGGATCACACCCTGAGCTACTGAGCCACTCAGGCACTATCCCCCAGAAATGTTTTTAAAAATTAACTTAAAGTATTACTTAATTTTCCACCTGTTAACTTCATTCAGCAGAAAAAATAAGGAATCCTTACCATCTAAGAATGTGCTGTTGGTGTGAATTTGACTTTTGAGTTTGGTACATATTCCTTAAAAATAATGCCTAAAATTATAGTTTACATAATATTTTTCGTGTCTAGATCACTAACTTCTTAAGACCTTTATACTGTTAAAATTTGTGCTGCTAAATTATTATTCTGTGTAATGAAAAGCCATCATTAAGAAAAATTTTTTTTCTGTTTTTCCTACACTTATAAATGGGTAATAGAAAGCTAATCCATGTAGAAAAATAATTTTTATTTTATAATGAAGTTTTCAAAAATATGTTTTGTTTTTACCCACTGACCCAATTAGAGAAATTAGCATTCTCCTATCCATTAAATTACTACTTCTTGGATGGAATTTAATGAATATTAATAGACTAAGAAAAAAAGGAGGTAATTTATTAGTTTTCTGCATTTCTATTTTTATGTGTTATCTGTTTTCTTTTGCATTATATGCCATACATCTTTTGTTTCAAGTTGATTAATAATTCCTTTGTGTTTTTTACTTTATTATTCATTTTCAGTAGAAGATGCCTTCACATTTGAGCCTTGCTAATTAAGATATGCAGGCCTATAAATTGAATATAAATTTAAAGGAAGACCTGGTTTCTAATCATAGTGTTTTTTTAACAAAATTTTTATAATTATTTGTATTGTGGTTTAGCATTTTATTTCTTAAATTCATCAGATGTTACCTAATATCTGTGCTTGTTTGTTTTTAGCCATAACATTTTAGCAAACTCATGAAAAGTGCTTTTCAAATACTCCGTTCTGACTGACATACTGATGAGCTATTAACAAATGGTGATGATTATTTTTCTTCATAGGTAGAGTTATATGCTGTTAACTCTCTTTGATTACTACATGCAAAATAGCAATAAAAATAGCCAATACTTACAGGGTGCTTATTATCTCACTGACTACTTGTGGTAACTCAGTTCTCACAGCTCTATGAAGTTAGGACTATAATTAACTCCATTTTACAGATGAAGAAGCTAAGGCAAAAAAAAAAAAAGTTGAACTTGCTGGAGGTCACAGAGTAAGAGGGTGAGAGAGTTGGGATTCTGACTGAGTCATTCTGGTTCCCAGGTTCATGCTGTTAACTATCGAGGTCACTGGCCATGCTGATGCTTCTCTTGCACATTTGAGCATTCTCTCTCTTAGCACTTAGGAGTCCTTTTAGGACCTACAGCAACCTTCCTTCAGTTTTCTTTATTTCTACAAAAACTTCATTGCCAAGACTTTTTTTTTTTCTCTTTTTTTCTAGTCCCAATCTCCATCTGCTTTTACTATCTAACTGTCTCCATAAAGGAGGGGTTGAAAATCAAAGTATTGAAACACTTGAGGAGACATACACAGACATGCCTAAAACAATGCCTACCCCATGTTAAGGTACAAATGTGTTTTTGTTGAGTGTCACAGTAAATATGCAAATGCTAAAATTTCTAGAAAGAAAAAAGAGGTAACTTTCATTTCTTCTGCTTTCTTTTGGGAAAACTCAATCTGCTATGTGGAGAACAGTTTGGATAGGGGCAAGAATAGACGTAGGAAATTCTCAATAGCTAAGAAAGAAAGCATGTGTCATCCATAGATAGTAAATCCAATGCCAAATTCTTATTCAGGTCTTAAAATCTGTAATTTCAGATGATCAACGGGAATATGTCAGAAATAGTAAGTTAACCAGGCATTACTGTGTTAACAGTAGTTTTCCTCTTGAACATGAGACAAAGCAGTATTTCTAGAGAAAAATAAAAATACATCACAAAAGAAAACTGAAGTGTATAATTAAGATGGAACAGACTAAACCTAAACCCTTGGGGATTAAAGAGGCCTACTTTTAATTAAAATTAAAAACCAGATGGATATACACCACAGTATATCCAGTGGCCACCTTTGGATGATGGATTTATGGACAGTTTTTCTTTCTTCTTTATACCTTTATTTTTTGGGGAAAAATTTTATATTAAACACATACTGCTTTCATGATAAAACTAGTAAAATCATTTTTATTAGAGGAAATATACATAACTTTTTTCTCATGTGAATACTCTTTAAACCAACTGCTTTTTAAACTTTAGATATTCCTAAATTTATGCAAAGCATATTTAAGGATATGTGAATTCACTGAAGTGATATGCAGTCATGGCTGAGTACCTGAACTGTACAAGGAGTAATTTTTACTTTTGAAAATGATTTAATATCCAATAAAATTTTACTTAAGACTCAGACGTTGAAAGCAATGAAAGAACATATGTAGGCTGATGAAATAATGCCTGTTTAGTAGTATTCTGTGCTGTGTACTAATGGAGTCACCATAGAATAAACTCAGAAGGAAAGCCATATGTGTAAAGCTGTGACTTCATGATCGAAAACTAGAAAATGTAAATATCACTTAAGTAATGAATACCTGTATCTTCTACAGCTGCCTTAAGCCCAGCAAAGTGAGAACTAAAAAATAAAGTTCTTTTGGGAAATTGTATATGATGTTTAATATATGAAAGTCTGAAGGCAGCAGCTCACTCTATAGTTAATGTATTATACTAGCTGAAGATATTTCAGACCCATCAGAAAGTCCTCTTGATTCAGTGTCTCTGGCAGTATAATAGTAAAAAAAAAAAAAAAGTAGAGGAGAAATCTCTGCAGTCTCTAATAAGCAGTATATCACTGAGTACTGTCAGATTCTGTAGAAAATTCCACAACATGATTTATTACATTAATTATAGTCATGTGGGTTTCATGCTGCTAAGCCTGAAAATGCAGCCACATTCTACAGTTGATTTAAGAATATATTTTGGCCAAGACAAAAGAGCTCCTTATTGTGATTAATATAGTACAATATTTATTCTCTTGTTCTGCTCTTCTTTCGCCTTTGGAATGCTTAATTTCTTTCCTGTGACTTGAAATTAAGTTTGATTTTGAGAAGTTTCATCTGGTTTTTATTCACTTCTGTCATCTGGTCCCCCCCCCCTTTTTTTTTTGTGCCATCTTAGTTGTCCTTCAATGTTGCATGTCCTCTGTATGTGAAGCCTGTTTAACTCCCTTCTGAGCAGATGTGGCTAGCCTACAGCTGTCCCTAGCTAGTTGTGCTGACCCCAAGGCTTCTTAGGTTACATGTGGGATGCTTCGGCTCTTTTTGAAGGGAAAGAGCAATTGAGGAGAAACCCTCATTTTCTTAGTGCAAAGAAGCAAAATTCTTCGAGAATTCCATGATTTTACCCTTGTTAGTACTGTATTGAATTCATAGTCACATAATGTCTCTTACTTAGTGACACAGTCACCTTGTCACATCTCAGTATTCTAGGTAATGTCGAATGGAAGGTCTCCTAAGATGGCAATTCTGGTTGCTTACATATGTCAGTGACTGGATATGTTCAGTTATGTGCAAATGCCTAACACTGGTAGCCTTTACAGATGTAACTTGGAAGAATAAGCAAATATTTGATACAAATGAAAGCATCAATAGAGGAGAAATTCAAGTGATGTAAGATTTAGTGGGTTGGAACATATTTCTAAGAAATGATTTTTTTTAAAGAGTTGAACTAGATAATTTTTATGTGCCCAACACTGACCTAGGTGGTTTTTCTTTCTTATCAATTTTTATACAGCTCTTAAGAGATAGGTATTACAACTGTCTTACAGCTGAAAAAAAAACAAGGCTTAAGTTTAAAAAACTTACCCTTATTCACATTGCTGGTTAAGCAGTAGAGCTGGGATTTGAACCCAACCTTTCTTCTTTCCTCCCTTTCTTCCTCTCCCCTCTCTTCTGCTCTCCTTCCTTCCTTCTAGAGAGACAGAGAGAGAGAGAGAGAGCGAGAGAGCGACATGCAAGTAGGGAGAGGGAGAGAGAGAATCTCAGATTCTAGCACAACTAGCTTAGGGACAGCTGAGTGTGGAGCCCAATGTGGGGCTCAATCTCATGACCCTGAGATCACGACCTGACCTGAAATCAAATTGGATGCTCAACTGACTGAGCCACCTACGCACCCCATTTTTCTACATATTTATTAAGGAGAAATTTTTCCAGAGGCTCTGGACTCACATTAACTGAGAGAAATGACCAGATGTTTATTTTTTTATTTTTTAAAGATTTTATTTATTTATTAATGAGAGGCAGAGAGAGAGAGAGAGCGCGCGCAGCAGAGACACAGGCAGAGGGAGAAGCAGGCTCCATGCAGGGAGCCCAATGCGGGACTCGATCCCCGGTCTTCAGGATCAGGCGCTGGGCTGAAGGCGGCGCTAAACTGCTGAGCCACCCGGGCTGCCCAACCAGATGATTATTTAAGTGATTCCTGCTTCAGTGAAAAATACTATCAAAAATCTTACTGGACTGGGGAGTCTGGCTGGCTTAGTTGGTAGAGCATGTGATTCTTGATCTTGGGATCAAGAGTTCAAGCCCCATGTTGGGTGTAGAGATTACTTAAATAAATCTTTAAGAAAAAACTCAGACTGGACTGACTGGTACTGTTCGAAATTTTCATGCTTCTGAATATGTAAGAAATGTGTTTTACTCTCACTATTGAAAAAGATAAACAGCATTAGACTAATTTGCTGATCATATAGCTATAATAACATACAAATCTGGCTTCAATTAATGATGTTAACAATCCTACAAAATAGCCTGTGTTTTAAAATTCTAGGAGAAAGCATAAAAATATGCAAGGAGGGGCACCTGGGTGTCTCAGTCAGTTGAGTGTTGGACTCTTAATTTTGGCTCAGGTCATGACCTTAAAATCCTGGAATCGAGCCCTGTGTTGGGCTTTGTGCTTAACACAGAGCCTGCCTGTCCCTCTCCCTCTGCTCCTCCCCCTGCTCACATTCTCTCTCTCTTTCAAATATGTGGATAAATAAAATCTTTTTAAAAAATGTGCGGGATGCCTGGGTGGCTCAGCGGTTGAGCGTCTGTCTTTGGCTCGGGGCATGATCCTGGGGTCCCAGGATCGAGTCCTGCATCGGGCTCCCTGCATGGAGCCTGCTTCTCCCTCTGTCTGTGTCTCTGCCTCTCTCTCTGTGTCTCTCATGAATAAATAAATAAAATCTTAAAAAATAAATAAATAAATATTTTTTTTAATGTGCAAAGAATTGGATTTTTTTTAAATTTTTTATTTATTTATGATAGTCACAGAGAGAGAGAGAGAGAGGCAGAGACACAGGCAGAGGGAGAAGCAGGCCTCATGCACCGGGAGCCCGACGTGGGATTCGATCCCGGGTCTCCAGGATTGCACCCTGGGCCAAAGGCAGGCGCCAAACCGCTGCGCCACCCAGGGATCCAAAGAATTGGATGTTTAAAGGAGAAAAAAGACACTAACTTTTATACATTTATGATGGTTCCAAGGTTATCTCAATTTATTTTCCACTTTTTAATAATCTCTCCCTTTTTTTAAAAAAGATTTTATTTATTCATGAGAGAGACACACAGAGAGGGGCGGGGGGGGGGCAGAGGCAGAGACACAGGCAGAGGGAGAAGCAGGCTCCAGGCAGGGAGCCTGATGTGGGACTCGATCCAGGGACTCCAGGATCATGCCCTGGGCTGAAGGCAGGTACTCAACCACTGAGCCACCCAGGCACCCCTATTTTCCACTTTTTAAAAAATATTTTATTTTTAAGTACTCTCTGCACCCAGTGTGGTGCTCTGACTCACAACCCCAAGACCAAGAGTTGCTGCTGCACCAACTGTGCCACTCAGGCACCCCTATTTTCCACTTTTATTTATTTGTTTATTTAAACATTATTTATTTATTTGAGAGAGTGAGCATATGAATGCTCAAGTGGAGGGAGGGGAGGAGAGAGAGAGAGAATCTGCAAGCAAACTCCCCATGAAGTTTGGAACTGCACATGGGGCTCCATCCCATGACCCACGAGATCATGACCTGTGCCAAAACCAGGAGTCCGAAGTTCAACTAAGTCAGCCGGGCGCCCCTCATTTCCACTTTACTTATTTCCAATAAATAAATTGTAGGAGTTAGGAGCTGTTGCTGTTTTCAGAAACGAAACATGAATGTTGGCAAAGTGATTTTTTGTGACCCCGGTGACAAGTAAAATTGGTCTATTTCCTAAGATTACCAACCAGAACATTTTTTTTTAAATACCAAGATTATTTTCCTTGAACATCTGAAAGAGTCCTAAGAAAATTTAATTTCTTTCAAAGGAATACATTTATGGAAGAAGTAAGTACCTAATAGAAAACATCATCATGTCAGTGTAATCTTTTTTTAAAGTGAAGGTCAGGACTGAAGGTGGGAGAAGGAGCTATCACTTGATTTTATGGACATACTAATTCTAATATGGACTTCTGTTAAAGTATTGTTTGTTTTTCCTTATCTTGACAGTAAGATAAAAATACTGTCTTGCTGCAGTTTGTGTGATAGGTCTTTTTTTGGTTTTTTGTTTGTTTGTTTTTTATTAACTCTGTGCCCAACATGGGGCTTGAACTCATAACCCTGAGATCCAGAAATAAAAAGTCATATGCTCTCCCTACTGAGCCCTGTTGTGTGATATGTCCTTTTATCCCAAGGAATTAGCCCTGGGAAAAGCTTCTAGTGACCTTATTAGTCATTTCATAATCACCCTGCCCCAACTACAACAGACTCTCTGAAGAGGCTTAATGAAGGAAAGGTGACTATGAGATTCTGATTGTGAGCCACCAATTTAATTTTATGCATTGACTTTGTTTTTAAATGCAATAGTATGATTGGTCTGAAGCGACTGTGTAATTACACACAGTGTTATCTCAGTAACTTTCCTTTTAGCTTTGGTGTTATTTTAGTCAACAAATGTTTTATTGAATGCTACTACTTCTTAAGTGCTTTTCCAGACTCTGCGTAGAGTAGCAAAAATCCTGCTCTTACAGAACTCACAGCTCACAGGGGAGAGACAGATGCTAAACAAGGTATCAAATAAATACACAGTATGTCAGACGGTGACAGGTATAGAGAAGAATATAACAGCATAAGGAGAATAAAGAATGTCAGAAGTAGAGAAATGGGTTGTTGATTTGTTTTTAAAAAGCTGTTTCTTCAGATGTTTGGCATTTGAAAGTTCTTTGCACTCAGCATATTCAGTTTCCTCTCCTGGTATATATATTTATAATTACTGTATAAAACGCTCCATGTGGCTCTCCCACTGTTCTGGCTTTATTCCCTACTCCAACCCTTCTCCCACCTCCAGACCAGGATCAGTGTTTTTACAGTCCTTATGACCAGAAGCCAGACTCCCTCCCATCTCATTCCCTTTGCACATGCAGTATCTTCCTAGAATGCTCTATCTTCCTGTTCTTCTTTACAAAATGGTATCTGTTCTCCCATGGAACAGAGCTCCAACATACCTCAAACTCTGTTCGACTCCTTTCTCTCTTGTTTCTGAATTCCTATAGGACTTAGAGGTCATGCCACAAACACAGTGCCTAATTGCATAGTGCCATGTATAGTCATTTTAATTAATTTTATGTGTGTTAGTCATCTCTTCTAGCTATGATGTAATCTACATAATCATCAGGGACTTGCCTTTGACTACACCCCACAGGACTTTTTGAAATGCTAGGGGGCAGGGTAGGTACTCACAAATGTAGATTAAATATTCATCCCAGCTGCAGTCTCATAGATATAAATCTACTCACCAGATTTCTTTTTACTTTTTTATATTTCAAACTTAAAAATACATTGTTATTTAATAAATTTGTGGACTTACATTTACTGGTTTATAAAAAGAATTTGGATGTCATTTCTCTATCAAATGAAAAGACAAAATACTCAAAAATAATAAGTTAAATATCAGGAAATGTGTCTTATTGCTTCAGATGTATTGCTTTAATAAAATCACAAAAGGAATGTGATAGCTAAGCTTATTTTTTGTTAAATTGAGTGCTACAGCAATAGAGGGAAATGGATCTGAATTTAAACCGAACATAAATCTCTTCAAATTAAATGAGAACACAAGATACTGCACTAATTATGTGTTTTTCCATGCCATCTCCTAACAAGGGAGGAAATAATTGGATTAATGGGGCATGAAGTCTATGTAAATAAGTACAGAAAAGCTGTGTGTCTAAAAATTTTACTCAGGCTTTTGGTAAGAGTTCCTGTGCCAATGCTGAGGCTCTTCCTAGGGTCCCATTCCAGGTCACAGAACTCTTGGAAGACAGTAACCTAAAATTTCCCATCTCTTGGCTACATTTATAGAAGACCCATTTCACTGTACTAGGTTTTATGGTATGGCTTCTCCTTTTAAGAGTAAGTTTAAGTGATAAGTGTTACAGCTCTTGGGTATGCTATAATAAGTGACCGTTCATTCCAAGAACCAAGGACACTCATACCTTGTCAGCCTGATTAATAACTTTGTGTTTTATCCTAAGAAAACTAGTTGATCAGAAGACTACATGGTCAGGTTCACATTGCTCTTTTAAGATATAAATCTATCTATAAGTTTGTAAACCTATCTCTTTCCATGCTAAGAAATTTTCAGTAAACTTTGCTTGTATAAATAGAGCTAAGTTCACATCTGAATGACCTGGTGCAAAACATTCCCAGACAGTGAAATGATGTATAAACTACTCCGGTAGGGTCACCTGAGCAGCTCAGTGGTTGAGCATCTGCCTTTGGCTCAGGTCATGATCCTGGGGTCCTGGGATCGAGTCCCACATCGGGCTCCCTGCAGGGAACCTGCTTCTCCCTCTGCCTATGTCTCTGCCTCTCTCTCTCTCTCATGAATAAATACATAAAATCTTAAAAAAAAATCTACCTC